GCAGGAATTATTTTGGACCCCCCAGAAGAGTTGCTGCTGGGGAGAAAGGCTCCCAGTCACAAGCCCTTCCCTCCTCATGCCTCTGTGTTGACCCAGAGGACAGGGAGAACAGAGGAAAGTACAGCAAGGACATGTACTGCAACATCTGGAGCCTTGAAGTTGCAGGAAAATGCCCTTCCAACCACCCACCCCCATCCCTGCTCTCCTCCAGGTTCATGGGAGGAGTTGATGGAGTGGTGCCTATTTTTCCCTGGGGAATGGCCTCCCTGTTCCACCAATCACCTGATTGGCAGGACAGTGGTGTGGGGGAGCAGGGTGGGGCATGTCTGTAGTAGCTGCTAGTTTTGAGCAGCAGCTAACTGTGAAGTAATAGTTTGCCCCCATCCCAGGTCCAAGAAGAAGCCTTCTAGTGATCCTGCCTTGAGAGCTCACATTTGTAGCTTCCCATCCAGGGGAGTGGAAAACATATGCACTCTTGCTTCTGGTCTATTTTTCTAGTTATAAAACTTCCAGAGAAATTTAGAGAAATTCTCCTTTCCAGAAATGAATGCCTATCCATGGCCTAATTACCTTTAATGCACTGCAGAGTCACTCCTTTGAGATGTGGAGGAACTGTATTCAAATCTTTCTTTGATGAATATTTATTTTTATGGTTCCAGCATGAGAGATGGGAGAAAAATTATCATAGATTACCCAATAATCTGGAGGTTGGAGTGCTCACCTGGAATATGGGGTGATGAGGATCAAGAAGGGACTGGGTATTTTAGATTGAGCAAGTCTGTCTGTCTGCTTCTGCTTTTGACTAGTAATATCATCCTGGGCCTAAAAAATCGTAGAGAAGGTTGGGAAAATGTCCCTTGAACACATTAGCTAGAAAACTGATAATGTATCTGAAAGAAAGAACCAAACAATAGTTAGGAAATTCTGTGAACACAAAATCCTAATTCTAATATACACATATGGGTACACACATGCACATACACAGAAGAAGTAAAGTATTGACCTCTCCTATATAAATTATATCTTATACTTGCAAAATATATGTCACTTTTGGTCATAGAAAATAATTCTTCCTGTTACAAAAATGAGGGAGAATTTTGTGAAGACAAAATACAGTGTCTGCCCATTTAATTTAAAAAACAAGCCAAAAAACATCACTGTTGCCATAACAGAAACATACAGAGCCAGCAAAACTATCAAGTGTTTCACTTCTGGTTCTTGTAAAATCATAGTTGGACAACTCATAAATCACAGTACATTTTTTTATTCAGCACAAGGAATGGGGAAAAAACGTAGCTTAGTGTAAAATCTTCATTACTTGGGAATAAAAAGCATAATTATTTTCCTTAATATAATATTTTGTATAATTGTGTATGCTCCAATGAGTGTATAATTGTGTATGCTCATTTAAAAGGCTCTCTCTTTTTATTTTGCTTTTGCCATAATATTATGCAATTGGACCTGAGTTTTAACTACGAATCTCTCCAATGACTACAGCAGAAGTTCAGGCCAATAATATTGTATAACACACAAATAAACAATGAAAAGGAGACTTCATGTGCATTCCACATCAGCTTTATAAATCATCTGTGAGATAAATAACACTAAAATAAAATGATACAGTGGCAAAAGTAAAACACAGGGCAGAATGGCAAGTCAATATTTTTCTGTTCAAAAGTCATAAGGCAATATTTAGGATCAACAAGAAAATCAAGATCTCATAGGTTATTCCAGCCTCTTAGGAATATGCAAATGATTAATAATTAAAAATAAAAGAAGCCATTTAGCACTCCAAAAAGTCAACAACAACTTTGTTAAATCATTTCAAAACATGACAGGAAGTCAATACAGGGTCTGGAGGACAGACATTACATACTTGAAACAGGTTAGTAGCAGCATGCACAAACTAATCAATACTTAATTTATCAGTGCTTCTCCTGTATACAATGTCTTCTTTATGCTTAGCATTTGATCTAATCAATAACAATGTGTTTTTGTGTATGAATACTTGAAGTTCATACTTTTTATGAGACTAAAGGTTTTCTGTATTTCTGCTGAACTGTGAACAAATCTTTCATAAAGCTTGAACTTTGTATAATTTTAGGGTGAAGTTGCATATTACACTTAGACTACACTAAGGACACTTAAAATATGGGTACCTCTATGATAAAGCTCATTAACTTGTGCTAAGTGTCCTCTGATCATCTCAAAGTTACACCACTTTAGGAAAGGGTAAACTCTCCATTATGCTACCCAGCTCATAACTTCAGTTGGCTTCAAAACTAGTAAATTTCATTACTCCAATATCCCAGGATGCACTGCTCTCAACCCTCCCCCCCCCAGTAGGGGCTCCTAGCCACGCCCCTGTTCACCATTCTTATAATGGCGAGTCAGAGCTGTGCATGCAAGAAATGATTTTGACCCTTAATGTGTGACTGCTCAGAGCATATTCTGACTTTTTCGCTGCTTAACATTCAACAGATTTATTATGGTCTAAGTATAACTTGTCATTTTACCCTTACACTTGCTAAAATAATTAAGATGTGTTTAGAAAGATTCAGTTATCAGTAATGGATAAGTCTGTTGATATTTGGTAACTAGGTGCTGTAGTAAATTTTGGACAGCACAGGATAGGTACTCTTGGAATCTTCGAAACTTCTGGGCCACCTGTACACATGACAGGGGTTTAGGTTCCCTAAATTGAAATGGTAGGTTTTTAATTGTGATGATTTAGCGGAGTCTGCCCACAGCTGGGTGGCAAACTGCCAGCAGTCCCTGAGTTGCAGGGGGCCCTGTCCTTCCCTCCATGGTGTCAGCAGCTCCCAGGGCCACCCGGGCAGGCTGCTAGTGGGCCGGGTGCTGCTCCAAGCTGGGGCAGCACCCGGTCCACTAGCAGCCCACCCGGGGGGCACCACCACCACAGAGGGAAGGACTAGGCCCCACTGCAGCTCATGGGCATATTGGCTCACCAGCTGCTCGCTGCTGTGGATAAAAAAAAGGATTGGGTTCCTCGCCATTTTTTTCCCCCAGCAGAGCCTGCCCACAGCTGGGGGGTGAGCTGCTGGTGGGCTGACTGACCCCTGAACTGCAGGGGGCCCTGGTCCTTCCCTTCACATCAGCAGCACCTCTTGGGGCCACACAGGCAGGTTGCTAGTGGGCCAGGTGCTGGCTCTGAGCTGTGGCAACACCTGGCCCACTAGCAACATACCTGGATGGCCCTAGGGGCACCATGGAGGGAAGGACCAGAGGCCCCCACAGCTCAGACGTCACTGGCAACTCACCTCCTGGCCCAAGGCAGGCTCTGCTGGGGGAAAAAAAAGCATCAGGTCCCTCGCTGCTTTTTTTCCGGAGCACCCCATGCACTGTCCCTCCTGCCTTCCTGCTGCCTGGGACCACCCAGCAATAAACTTGCTTGTCCCTGAGGCAGTGTGGAAAGGCAGCAGGAAGGTCGCTGGGTGTGCTGGTGGCTGGAGAAGCCAGCGGGGATGGTGCATGGGACACTGGAAGTCCACCAAGCCCAAGTTTTCCTGAGCCCACCTGGGCTTCCAGCACCCCATCTACCATTCCTGCCACCTTCTCCAGATGCCAGCACACTCAGCACACTCCTGTCACCTCCCTGTGCTGCCCCAAGGCAAGCTGTGTGTGCTGGTAGCCAGAGAAGGTGGTGGGGACAGTGCACAGGGTGCTGGAAGCCCAGGAGGGTTTGGGATGGATGTATCACTATAACTAGAATACATTGAGATGTGTTTGCTACATAACAAATTAATTTACATTGCAATACGCCACTGCATGTGTAACATGTGATACAATAAATCGCTATAAAAGAGCAATTAAACTGCTAAAAGGGGCAATTTCATTACATGTATGAGCACTCCTAGAATCCTAAAAATAGTTTAGCAGTGCCATATTGAGTCAGACCACAGATCCATCTAGCTTAGTATTCTGTATTTAACAGTGTCAGAGAGTGGATGTTAAAGGCAAGAGCATGCATGCAGGGCCTATCTAGACTAATCTGTCCTCTGCCCTCTTCTTTTTTAGCTTCCAGCATTCAGAAGCTTAGGAGGACCTAATAACTAAGTTATAGCCCTACCTATAAAGTTCAATAATCGCTAATAGACCTGTGTTTTTAGTTCAAATAAGTTAAGATGCTGAAAGAAATTGTTTTGTAAAGTTCCAATGATGTATGAAATATAAATTAATTTGTTGTAAGTGAATAAATTATAAATAATGGTGCATTAGATAGGTGTGTCAAGCATGTTTCATGAATTTCTATAGCCACTGCAATAGACTCATATATCTAAGATATTTTAATTGTGATAATCAATAAAATATCTGAGCTTGGTCAATTTGGTCTTTTGAACCTTTTCTTATAAATGCCCAACAAATAGGTAAAAATTGGGTAATTTAAAGGATTGGAAAAGTGTAATCTTAAACTGCTAAAAGCATATATTGATTAAACCAAAGCTGCTGACATACAAAATATGATTTTTCAAGTTTAATTGGCACTTACGATGTTTGACTAATAATTGGAAGATCTTCAATCAAATCATCATTAGGATTTTTGACTGAAGGAGAACACAATTGCATATAATAAAATTGCAAGAGAAACTTCTGTATTCATGGATTGGGTGCCAACCGTTATAACTTCAGTGTTCCTATTCCACCAAAAAAATCTGGTTTTCAGTCTTATTAACTTTTTCAAGGCATTGACTCTCTGCAACAAAATAGACTTTATAGTGAGATGTGTAGTAAATCAGACATGAAGACTCTCAGCTGTAGTTTGCTGATGTAAATTTATTTTGGATTGGTAGTAATAGGTTATTACTGTTCAATAGGCTTTTGTGAGGTGGTTGATGGGATATTTCTTAATGAACATTGGATCACATGAGAGAATAACAGGCCAAACTAGCTCTCTTAATAACAGTTGTGGGAGAAAGGGGAAAGATAAAATGCAGAGAATGAATGACTTCTCATATGTTTTTGTTTAGCAGTGATCCCTGTCTAGGTTACTGATAAGAAACATCAGTACGGAAAAGTCTGGAGTGCTGCTACCTGTTCTGGATCCTTAGCAATCCATAAAAGTCAATAGCTGTTATATATATATAGTAAACAATTGTGCATTTAATCAACACGGTAACACTGGTACGTTGAAGTCCAATGTGGAAGATGCCAAATTATTTGTCCACTTGATAACTGCCAAAGCAATTTAGGAGAGAGACATTTTTAAAAGTCTTTCAAAGGAAAACAAATACAGTTTGGGCAGCTTAGGGATCTTTTATTTGGAAGAGAACCGACATTCCAAGTTTGCCTAACCCAGATCACTTTGAAGGGCTTGGTGTTAATCATCATATCTAATTTTTTGTCTGTGCAAAATTAATAGGAGGTCCAGTTTTGGGCTTAAATTCTGAGAAATGTCCAGGTTTCAAGAGCAGAAGATGAGGTAGTTGAAAACCACACAAATAATCATGTGGCTACAATGTATGATTTCACTTCATTATAGTATAGTATTCAAAATATTCCAGTTCTTTTTAGTATCTGTTTTAATGGTGCTCTGTCAAGCCTGTAATCTGCTAGTGAATACTCGCACACAGAAAAAAAATATTGTCTGAATTATTTGTTTAGTTCTAATTCATTGCTAATGAATACAGTAAAAGAGGATTTCGTAGGTATCCCTATCTATGTACCTGTCCTTCTGTCTTTTTATTAATTTTATTACTAGTCTGGTACCAATGTTGTTACTTTCACCAGGCTCCATTATCATATTAGGGAGTTCAAGCATAAAAGATGTGGTCATAAAATATTAGCAACTCATTGGTGTTTAATATGAAGATAGCTAATACAGTATATTGTGAAATTCACTAATATCCTATTAAAATAGCTCAGACTGCTA